CATCTCGGCATTTTCGACATGATAGAAAAATTGGGCACAACATTACTCGGAGTTTACTGCCGAGTTACTGTTATATTTTCAACTAGTTCGAAGCATAAACGGAATCGCTGACTCATCACCCCTACGTTTCTATTCAGGCGAAGTGAGCGTATACATTGTCAAAGAAATCTTAGCGAGAGGCTCGCTACAACTCGGAGAAATGTAAACTGACCTTTGTTCAGAACTTTACATTTGTTCTCAGCCTACAGATTCACCGTCGGTGTTGGGGGAATTTCTTCACTTGTCACATTCTGCTTGACAGCTAGAATTATATCGACAGGGTATTCCGGTCAGAAAGTGTTGGACACATCTTTCTTTGCTTTCATACCTGTGCATCCTCCACTAAAATTTCCTTCATAGTTTATAATGTTTCTAGCATTCTTTCAATTCTCATAAATGACACTTTAATCGTCTCACCGTTTTTCATTGGTGTACCAGAAAAAAATGGTCTTTGTTTCTATCACGCATTGAAATAGTACATTATATTGCGTATTTAAGGCATAAAAGGGGTATTATTATTATTATATCATTTAGTTCCGTAATTTATTAAATTTTTATTTCTCTTTTAATGTTTTCAAAAATTTTAATTATTTAATTATGAATTATTTTATTATTTATTTATTTGTTTCTCTTTCTTACCTGCCCTTCATGCTGTGCCGATACTTCTAATTTTAGAAATTAAGTCCTGCCAACAGGCAATGTTGGCGCGTAACTGTTTCTGCAGAATATTGTTTGATCCGTGTTGTCCTGACATGTGAAAAATTTTGCACTTACAATTTTTTATAAATTACTGTTTTAGTTATTAGATTGCAATATGAAATTTATGAACCGTAATTTTAATCTTTCGAAATAAAGTTCATTAAAATGCTAATCTGAGACCCTGAAAATAACGGCCAAGTGGTGAGTTAAACATTCTACGTCAGTGAAACCTTGAAAACAACGAGAACTAAGCATCCTGAAGATTGTAATTAGAAAACATTTGTTGGCAAAAGCTAACTTAATATCTTTGATTTGTGTGGCCAGATTTTAGTACAGTAATGGGATGTATATTGCCCCTTTGAAAATTTTCTTACATTTCTTCAACAACAACAACAACACTAATAATAATAATAATAAAACCAGGAGTATTGCCCAATAGTGTCCATGCGACATGGAACACTATAAATATGCCGCGAAAAGAAAGTTCTCTCGAGAGGTTGATGGTAGAGGAAGAGGGGTGGATGATCCTCAGACTCTTATCCCCGAGATACTCTCCATCAAAACTGGGGGCGAAACTCGTACTGTCACCTGTATGGCGTTCGAAGCTCTTGCCAACGACAGGCGCAATCTTACACTCTTTGCCACTATGAACTTCGTGGACTTTTCTGATATTACTATCAGACAAGTGAGATAAGTCACAACAACATGCCAAGGTTAATGGAGAAAAATTAATCAATAAAATATCTAGTTGAACCAGAAACATGCCAAAAAATTGAATTACGCTACAGAAAGCTTAGAAGCTAATAATAATAAAAATAAATTAAATTAAATTTTTAAAATTTTATTTGATAGGATAATAAGTCAAACAGAAGGAGAACATGCTAATGTAAAATTTAAAATTAGGGAAAAGAAAAAGCAACATTTAAGTCTGTCAGTTTTGAAAGAACAAGTCCTTCGACTTCAGGAGCTAAAATAGATAAATAAAGGTTGCTTTTTTGGTTAACTTTAAAGAATAATAAGTCTGTGATACAGTGTCGGATTTATGAAATTGTTGTCCAATTCCACTGAACTTTTGGTGTCTTTTTATCTTAAAGTAAAAGATCTATTTAAGATTTTTAAAAATTAATTAGTGTAACTTTTGTGAGTCACTTACAACGCAGGGCCTTTCGCAGCTGCTGCTTTGGGACCTCATTTACTCGCCATTATCTGATCACTTTTAGACGTGATTTTTCCTGTTCAAGAGAAAAATTCTCAATATTTTGCTTTTGGACAAAATAAAGTGTAAAAAAGAGTATGAAGTAAATATATGCTTCAGGAACAGTACATTCCATAATTTCATTTTAAAACTTTTGATGTTTTAATTAAACACTGCCGATGTCTTTTGTGAGACGCGGATTGTACCTACAGAAATTACAGTGTTTTGTCATAACAATGAGGTTTTATTTTTGATGTCAGGACAGAGTTTCTCTCATTTTGCCAACATACGAAACCCATAAAATTGCATTTATATTTTCTTAGAACACAACATTTCCAGAAAATTATATATTGAAAAAAGAGGCTTTGAAAATATATCAGCAATGCTCACATTTTATGCAAAAAATTCATTTTTCATAATAAATTAAATCCTTAAAAGAGTGATTGCTACTGGTTTAGGCAATAATAATAACACAACTAACAGAAAAGATATTTAGTTAATTACTTTAGCTTTTAGTTTTGCTATCCTGCGTGACATACACCCTTTTTTTGCATTTTAATTGGTGGACACCTTTCAGGTTAGGTTAAGTGAGATTATTTTAATATGGCATAACATATCGGCCAAAGAAGAAGGATGGCTTTGTGAAAGACATTTTTAAGGGAAACTGGCTCGAATTCATATCCCACATGGGAAGAAACACGAAAACCAACCATGCAGCCAACCTGTTCGCCTCGGTTTGAATCTCGGTTCAGCAGGTCCGACAGGGTTTCAATCTCGCCTAGGCATTAACCTCGGTATTTTGTGGTCTTAACCTCTCTACCACTGGTTGGGCGGAACACCTGGTGGAAGTGCATGAAAGCCAAATTCTTCGGCACAAAGTTTGAACACCATTGTTATAAGATCGTAAGGAATTTTCTCCTTCCTTCCTGCCTTTATGGTGCAGTTGAAATTGCGTCCGGCTACCTTGGAAAACCCGAAGTTTGAATCCCAGAAAGAGCATTGCTGGTTTTTTTTAAATTTCTTATTCCGTAACAAATCTAATGATTTTACAGATGGCTCCCAAACGAAAACGTGGTGCATTATAATTTGGCACCACCTGGATTTGACGAAGCGTCATCTCTCCTCAGTCGCTCTTTAAATTGAGGAGAGTCTTTCTTTCCTTACCTAGCGCCTTCGTGGTGTAATCGGAAAAAGATTACCTAAGAAGTTCTGTAGTTCAAAGGCTTCAAAGAGTACTGCTGATTTTTTCCATCTGTTACTTCGGAATAAACCTAATGACTCTGCAGGATGATGACATCAAAGCGAAATGTTCTATAACTTGTAGTTAGGAAAACGTATGCTGTTATATATGCTAATTTACATGATCAAATAACTTGAATTTTCACAGTTTGTTAATTTAAGTAATAATCTAGCTATTTTTTATTCATGTACTTTACTTCAGTTGAACATACCTTTAACTTAAAGTGTCTTCCGTTTATTTTTGGACACTTGCATTTTTCAAATTTATTTGCAAATATCACTTATTAAGTATGTGCGAAATGACTCAATTTTTCTTTCAAATACACTATCAACCCTCTTTTTTAAAATCTATTTCTTTTGAAAGAAGTTATTCAAAACGTTTTGGGTCAAAAATACAACTTGTTCCAAAAGTTTTGAAAATAACCTCAAATAAGTATTCGGACACCTTAAATAAATAGTTTATATTTAATAAATTTATGAAATAAAGGGACATCCGTATTTCTTTGGATAACTTTAGTTAAAATTCCTTTTCATGCATTTGGGCATGGATTTAATTAATTGTTTCGTGTAAGAATATTCCATGTTTCCATTGCTCTATAAGAATTGCTTTTAGTAGAGCTTGCTATCTTTTCTTCAGGTCATTCCTTACGCATTCGTTAAGATTTAAGGCCAGAGAATATGGAAGAGATTTGATAACTGTTGCATAATAATGACGAATGGACATTTATGCCTGTATGTTTAGAAACGTTCTGATAGAATTCGAACGTACTTTACATTTTAAGGCTTCCTATAGATGCTTTCATGCTTTCACTTAGAATATTTAAATTTTGACGCATCTGCAAATATAATGCTGTATGAATATGACAAATCTTTTCTTTTCATGAATTTTGAGAATATTAGGCATATTTTCTTCTTTTTCTTGTTGACGAAGAATTTTCTTCTTATTAATCGGCTGTTGTATTCATGTGCCCTAATGACTGTTATAACAGTTTTACGGTTAACTTTTACTGAAAACCGTTCTAAACCTGATGCAAAATTTACAGCACTACAATTTAAATCTTGTTTAATGTTTTGTAAGCAAAATATCCCATTCCTTGATGTTAGCTTGGAATATAGTCTAAATCTCCAACAGTTCACATAATTCCCATCATTTTGTGACATAAAAAGCTTTGCATCAAGGATGTTTGGATATTTCGAATATTTTTGTCATCTTGAAAATAATGAATAATTAAATTTCTAACAGATTTTGTCCCTAATTTGAAGCGCCTTGTTATGGTCACATCATATATGGAACTGCTAATATATTTTGCTAAACAAGAAATAAATGCCGATGCAGACGGTAATTTTTATAATGTATTTATTTTCATTTAAAATAAAAATAATATCACTGGGAACATCATATGCAAAAAGATCTTAAAAGTATTCGAATTATTGATGGCATGTGAGTGATTAATTACCACTTCTTGAATAAATTATTTTATTATGAGGAATATTTTGATAACGTTTATTTTGTAACAAGTAAAACTTAAATTTTAGAAAGAATAATACATTAGAAAACAAAAATCAAATCCATGTTACATTATTTAATATAAGATCTATGCAAATTAATTTGAAAAATAGAGATGCCCAGAAACAAATACAAGCTACAGTTAAATGGTCCCAAATCCCATTTTATTTCGAAATAAAGATTATTCGATAATTCAGTATATCTTATTACCACTACGAAACTTAGAAATAAGAGTTCTTAAAATCCCTATCAACATTTTTTGCATGCAAATTTGTTGACGTCTCTGTTACTTTGTTTTTAGTAAATATCTTTCTTTTACAGGCAGAATGATCCTTATTTCTTCACTGAGGTTTCTCTTGATACTATCCATATTTTCAAGATTTTGCAATGGTATGTATGCAATATTTATATCAATAACAGAAATATGTTAAAATAGAACATTTCGACAGTGTAAATGGGAATAATGTATGCAGTGCCAGGGAGGAATTGCTTAATCGTTGGACTACATGGGACAAATATCGCTTCACATTATTAAAATACAGCTTATTTAAATAAAATAATGAGGAGACATGGTATGTAATGGATCCAATAGATATCAGGTCACTGAAAAATCTTATGTGTATGGTAGGATGTTTGTCTGCATACATGATAGTGTTAAATAAATGAATTAATTGGATTGTGCTTCTCTGCAGATATTTTTACAAAATAAAAAAAAAATCCTCTGTCCTATATTTTTCCAGTGTGTGTAAAAGGGTTAAACATATGGTCTTAGAATATATTTTGTTTTCAAAAAACGGTTTCTCGAAAATTTGTTATGTAGATCAAATGAAATAAATGTTGCTATTTTTGCTAATGTTATTTATAATAACTATATATATATCCTATTTGTGTCGTGAAAAAAGCATTTCGGATTTTCTACGCGGATTTTTAGTTTAAATTATTGTCCGCTCGGCCTAAGAAATTGCCAGTGGTCGGTCTGTTGTTATGTGAACTGACATTAGATTTTTATAAGCTTTTATTTAGTTCACACATGATGTTTACATCGCTATGGTCAAAAGTTTGAACTATTTAATGATAAGTTATCAAGCTCAAAATTTACGCGCACACTCTTTGCGAATGACAGTATAATATGGCAGAGCGATGTTTTCAAAATTCGGTTTTGAGTTTTTTTAATTTAATGTTGAAACCATTTTTTGCAATTATTTTTGTTTAACGAGCAAATTAAAAATCTCAGAATTTTATTTGCACCTTAAATAAAGCGAAAAAAATCTTTATGGGAACGTTATATGAAATTTTTAATCTAATTTCTGAATTTTGGCGAATTTTCGGAAATAACTCGGATTTTTCGACCATTTGATGTCTGTTATTTTAAAATGTCAGCATGTAAAAATGTATATGTTATGAAGTCTTCAAATTCTTATACATTATTAAAAAACATACTTTTAGCTTTCATTCAGAACTATAAAAACTATGTTACTTGAGCGATTTTGGAGATTTTCTTTTTAATATCTAAGCTAAAGGGAAAATTCCGTTCGTCGTTCTGCAATCATGAGATTTCTTTTGCCAGCGTCATTTGAAAATTATTATGATGTCAAGACATGACTTTTATAAGATTTTTTTTTAACTCACTGATATTATTTATTTCTATTGTTAAACATTGTAATCGCTTTTTTAAAAAAAAATTCCCTGATAAGCTATCGAGCTCACATTTTGTGCACACACTCTTTGGATGACAATAGAATATGGTGTAAACATATTCCATCAGAAACATTTTAATACATAATTTGTAGCTCGATATATATGAAATTTCTAATGCATATGCTTGGTCAGCAACATACCTGGCATACTGCTCAAACACTCAGATTCATTCAGGAGTGATTTTAATCACAAAACCATATGTTAAGTCCTCCATTTGCTGGAGAGGGGGATTATTATACGGTTCAATGTCCAACTACCCTCTTTAGTAAATAAATCAGTCCGAAATGGCATAAATGGTTATGCTTGTAGCTGCGCCTCTTACCCCAAAACTATAGCAGTGGCTTTAAATTCGCATGAAATTGATTATTTATGGAGGTTCAATAGGATAACATTTCTTTCGGAGTGTATGATGTCGTTTTAAATGTTAAGTTAGAAATATAACTAAATAATAAGAGAAATTTTATATATAAAACAGTGATTATTCATTGCTGAAAAATGATTTTACAACTGATTAGTTTGATTGATAAGTTTTAAATCTGATTAAAAAAAGAAGAAGAAAATTTCAAAAAAAAAGTTTTTATAAAATAAGCTTTAATTTAAAGCTCATGAAATAATTAATGACCTAAGAGAAGGAAAATAATTTTATATATAGTTTACTGGGATCAAGAGATTAAATAATTCTATTTATAAACTTCATCGTTATTTTTATATCACGAATAATAAAAGCGTGAGCTTCTAAATAACGAAATCTAATAGTCGAACTCCATTATCAAAAGTGCAAGCCATTGTCTATAAACTTATCAAGAGCGTCCAACGTAGGTGACGTTTGTAAAGAGAACGATTTAATATCTTTTGTTCCATTAAACTATACAATAAGTTATTTTTCTTCTTTTGGTTCACTAATTACTTTATAAATTTCAAATAAAGGCTAATTTCATAAAAAAAATTTCCCTAATTTTCTTTTCAAATTAAATTTAGACATTATTAAAAAAGCTGAGCGATCTGAAAGCAGCATGCTTACAATTTAATTCTATTTTTATTTTTGCATATAACTCCTCATGCAATTTGTATTAGTGCATCGAATTCACATAATTTATGGTGTAGTTAAATAACATTTAACAGTAAACATTCTCACGGTGAGTCGTTTTTGATTAGTAGTTCTGAGAACATAAATAAACATCGGTGCTGAACATAACTTTTAAGACTACCACCGCCCCAGGAGGCCAAAATTATGAGAAATCGTAGGTAGTTGTCTTTCAAAGAGTTCATTGAATCTTAGAATTTTGAGCCTTTTGCGTTCGAAAATCTTACGTTGAAGGCGATGTACAAAAAAGCGTAACCATTTTCAATGTCCTATTTATAAAAGACTGAAAAGAAAGACAATTTCTTAAGCTCTGTTTAAGGAAATACAGCTCACAGAATCCCTAGAATGATTTTCAGAAGTCAGCTCTTGGATTAAATTACTTAAATAGGGCAAAGGTCACGAAAGTTATTACCGAAGAAGAGGGATGCTTTCGTTGAGTACTATCTATGTAAAACTGACTCATATTCACGCTACAGATGGCAGAAAGCCTAAAAACCAACTATGCAGCCAACTCCTTTGTCTGAGATCGATCCCGGGTAGAACTCCTTGTATCAGATGTCTGAATCACTTGACTTTCTTGGATTAGGATCAAGAGTATTTAGATTATAGCACAGTATTTGAGAACTCTCTGCCTAAGGGCAAGGTTACCTTTCTGGGTGACTTTATAAGAGAAGCCGGTTCGTATTTAACTTTACATACTCCGATAAACGAAAACTCGCATGGAGTTAACCAGTTAGTCGGATCTTGAAGTCGAAGTACAAGTGTTCAGTAGTTTTACCTGCTGGGGATCAGAGCAGTTGTCGTAGCATTCTTCCATTCTCTCGCTACGGTTTTCGAATGCATAAAATATTTTTTCGTGACATTTAACACATTTTTAGCATTAAGTTCTAAATACCATTTTCTTTTCCTTCTATATTTTCTATAGACAATTTTGTGTTAGAGGGATCGTAATAATAATTGTTACATCACTCTGAAAAAAATTATAGAGCGCCGGTTTAATCCGGAGATGACTGTAATTAAAAAATGTGATCTGTTTAATGTAATTCAAAATAAAATTGTTCTTATTTTTTTAGCACAAAACTGTTTTGGCGGGATTGAATCTTTCGAAAAAACCACGGGAATGGCTTTTGGCCCATCTGTTGGGACTTCTGTGCTGCTGCATCAGCAAGACCAGGCATTGACTAGGGATTGCATAAACCTGTGCAAGCAGCAGTCGCAGTGCCTTGCCTTTTCTCTTGACTATGCAGGATTTAGGTGCAGCTCATACAACGTCAACACTGTCGGCAGGAGAGACGCCTTGGAAGTGAGGCTAAATAATAATTTCTTCGAGAAGACCTGTTTCCATGGAGGTAAGTGTTTGAAAAAATTCCTCTCGTTTGGTGTCACTACTCCAAAATCTTTAAAAAGTGTCGATTTGAGATTACTGTGTCTTTTCCGAGGGTCATTCAATTATAAACAGGAATTTTTACGCTCCATTCTCATAAAAGAGTTCAACGTAATCATGCATCCGTCCGCAAACACATACATATTTTAAATTGCCTAGAATAATGATAGGTTCTCGTTTTATCCCTCTTCTTAATTGTAATCAACCTGTTGATGCAAGACTTTCATTACAGCGTTATGTAGGGATTTTTCATTACATTTTTGACAATCAAATTCATCATTCCATCTCAGATTTTTTTTGAGATTTAAAAATGAGGTTTTCGAGACCTTTCAATCTAGAGTGCATGACTGATGCAAAACTTTTAAAGAAAGTTCGAGAAAGTTGAAAATGAGCCAGATGCTCGTCGACCGAGAACTTCAACACATGGCGACAAGCCGACTGCTCTAATTCTGATCACTTAATGAATCAATCCCAGAGAATTTGCTAAGTAACCTAACTTAAGTGTTGATAATGTGGATGTACTAGTTAAAGGTCGTCTTCAGCAAGATGAGCGCCATGTAAGTTCCCTCTTTTTTGGTGCCTAGAAAAAAGATATAGCTTGGTTCTAGTCCCACAACGTTTTCAACGTTATGATAGGGATGTATACATGCTTTAAGACTCCATAATAACCTGTGATGAAAGACGGATGCGTTACTTCATTGCATATTTAAAAACAGCAAGTATGCAATAGCAAGGAAATTCAAGTCTAAGAGCAGGTTGGTATCTATATTAAAATTTAGTGTGAGAAATTCATTTCTAATATAAGCATCTACGTAGAAATTCACTCTCTTGAGATATGTCTTCTGCTTCCTAAAAATGAGATTTTAAATGGTTAGATGTAGATTTTTTCAGAAAGTATTCACATTTCTGTAAAATTTTATGATTCTTTATATATATATATAATTGTATGTATAAGGATATATATATCTCTATAGAAACCTTTTGTAGATATGTCTATTCATTTTAACTATTCGTTAATCATTCTATATATATTTTTTACGCGTGCGTTTCATAAAACAGATTTTAAAGGGGGAATGGCTTTAAAGAATTTTATATGTTCTCAAATTTCACATGAAACTGTGTTCTTACCATATACCATGCAAAAGTTTGACTCTGGAAATTTGAGAAAATGTCATCTGAGTATACACAGATTTATTTTATTGATAAGAAGTTAAAGGATATAAAATGCATTCATAATAGATTTTGAGGAAAAGTATCAAAAATGGAACATTTAATAGATTCCGTAAAAGGGTTTTTGTACACTTTTAACATTTTGAACCCTACATTACAACCTGAAACATTTTTGATTCACGGTGAAGAAATGTTGTCACATTCCAACCGCATTCATATTATACGAAAAATACTACGGAGTCGTAAAGCCTACTTACAGCGATTTCTAATATAAAACAGATTTTCAGTATAAAATACAAAATTACATATGATATATCATGGATCCAAAACAACCGTATGGATGCCTTCATTATTCATTCTATGCGTCTCTATTTCTGACTGCTCATCCACAAGTATATCAAATATCACAGTATATCAAAGGTGAAAAAAATTAAAAGCTGCACATATTGCATCTTTTATCCATTGATACTAAAATCTTAACCCATAAATTGGGAAAAAACTTTTAATACTAAATTCTCAACATCTATTGTTAGCCTAGATGGTTTGCATTTGAATGCATTATGAATAACTTAAGCCAAAACAGAAAGGAGTTGTTAATCCAGTTCCGATTTAGGAAACACATTGATATGTTTATCAAAATTAACACTGGGTCTGTCTGCGGGGAAAATTGATACCTTTTTAAGATTTAGATTTGGAAGACAAAAAATTCTTCCTTACCTGTTTAGCAATTAAAAAAGCTTTTCCCTCGCTGTTCTCGTAAAGTTCTAAAAGATAAATCGCTAGACTACGCTCAATATTACAGTATTTCAAACGATTCGTAAGCTCATTTTATGCTACTCACTTTGGATTTGTCCTTAGCATCAGAAAAATAAGCATTTTTTAAAATTTTTTCTGTATTGTATATGAACTTTAGCTGAATAAGGTGAAGGAAGACTAAACTCTGTCTTTTATGTTTCCACAACCTAATGTTACTTGCAATTTCAGAATCTGTACACACAGCTTTGTTCTACATGATATATATATAGCTTTTGCAACTGTTGTAGCATCTTACAAAATGAAATATTTTGAACAGCTATGAGACCATAATTTTTCAACGTTCGGTAGAAAGTTTTCCGGGAAAATGTCTTTAAACGTTTCTATTTTCAATTGATAAAAATCCTTTAAAATTGTTAACAACTTTTTGCCAGAGCAATGCTAGCAAACGTTCAGTGTTGATGAATGAATCGTAGAGCATAAATGAAATTCTATGAGTGAACGAGTGCATTTGTTTACCGCAAATCCGCGTTTGGGAATGGTTTAACTTAAATAATTCAAATTACATAATGTATTATTAAAAGTTAAATGAGGTTAAAATGATTCATATTTTAGTATCTTTTGTTTTTAAATTTATAAATAAAAATGCGATGTAAAAATATCCTAAACGTGAAATGCTACTGATTTTTACTACTTTGAAAGATTGTTAAAAGATCTTTTACAAAAAAATTTTTTGAGCTGTATATTCAGCATATTTCATTTATATTATTTAAAGTATACTTTGAAAATAAAAATGAAATTAGTTCCAACATATTTTGAATTTTTATCAATTTAAAACGTGTTGAGACCTTTTTTAAACAATTCTTTGAAAACTTTTTAACATTTTCAACTTCTAAATATTTTGATCGTTATAAGTTTTTTATTATCTCTTTCATTTTATGCGTATATATTTGTACTGCACAAAATGTCCCATATTTTTATGCAAACCAGCGCAGACTTCAGGGCATATGTCGTTGTTTCATTTCCTTTTTTATTTTCTATAGTGCAAAGGACCCTGTTCGAGAACCTCTGTGGAGATCGTCTGTGGGCATTCGAGAGAGTCCGCGACGCTTTCCTGAACGGCTACGTAGAAAAAGAAGTGCAGAATGTGCAGACGAAAGAGGAATGCGAAAGACTATGTCTGACGGAGGTCACCTTCATTTGCAGGTCAGCCGACTACGACGAGGTTATGCGTGTCTGTCGTATGAGCAAAGAAGACAGGAGATCCCAACCTCAAGCCTTCAGAGAAGTCGTCGGAAGTAACAGGGATTACTTGGAAAATCAATGCGCAGCTTCAGGTAAGGAGAAGTATTTCGCGAAGATACAGGTGGGCCACAGAAATCTGATGATTTTGAGATGGAAATCAGCACTATGTGATGTAATTAAAACATTTGTTATTTATTTTTTTGAGCGATGGGGCATATAATGTCTTTTATTTTAACAGTCCATTCACATCTTTAGCCTCTTATTTTACTGGATAACACATTTTTCAAATGTTCTGCACCATTTGTTTACCAATCCTTTAGTGTCAGTTGCAAGTTTTATATGGTTGGTGATTGGTTAAGTGCAGTTGTTACTTGTAACGCTACGTGGCTTAGCCCATGTTCCTAAGTTTATTAATGCTCATTTGAATCTTCAGATAATTCCAGAGGAAGCTAATCTGATGCTGACAGGTCTAGAGAACATGTCAGGCACAGAATGTCTCCACCTTTGAGAATAATACAACATAGAAACATATGTTGAAGCGCCGTCAAGGATTCTTTGGCATTCCATTTCGTTGGAATCATAGCCTTTTGTGATCTATTCCACGACAAAGTATATCTGGAAAAGAGGCATTTTATAGTATCAGTAGCACTCATTGTTTAAAAAAATAAAAGACCGAACATAGGGAATGGTATTACTGTAATAAATTCTATTGTGCATCCTACTTTTCTTAAATAAAATATTTGAGCTACGTTTAATAGGGCAGATTCTATTTAAAAATCTTCCCTTTCTCCTACCTCAGCCTGTACATTTTGCTAATGTCAATGCTAACAACCGAAAATATATCATAGAGGGAAAAAAGAATATGTGTTTGATCAGAAATCTGGAGACCATTGGTTGTAATTAGTCAAGAATATCCCAATTTTGATCAGAGTATCTCATATCCAATTAGGATCCACGAATAAACCTTCAGCTCGTTTTCCGAAGGAGGTTGATTAGCATCGTAGTTTTCTGATGATTAAGTAACATTTCGCCAGAATCGCCATCTTCTTTAGAGATCTGTGTTTGTTCATGCGCTGCATTTCCAATATGTTTGTATGATGAGCTGGGGGCATGAGATAAAGTATCTCTCTGTCCGCTTACCTTTCACAACAATATCTGAACTCTTATGTTCATCCTGAAACAGGAGTTTTAGAGAAATGTTACACATTATCCGTCGAAGATAGGAAGGAATGTTTTGATAAAAACGAGAATTCAATCGACTTCAATGCCACTTCGTCAGGGTGAGGAACAGTCAAATCAGTTAAAATCTTGTTAAAAGAAAGCGAATCCAAATACAAGGGAAATTGTGGTAACATAAACAAAAAAAATATTTCTTTCTCAAGGGGGATTTGGAAAGTTTGGGCTTTCGGAGACGAACTTTCGGTCGCTTGGGGAGGTAAGGAGAAATTCACGAGGACCATGTGCACAATTTTTCCTCGATACTTGTTTTTCAATTCAAACCAAAAAGCAGTTTGTATTATTTAGTTTAATTTTCCGCAAAGAAGTACATACCCAGCTGCTTCTCAGTCAAAGATATCTTCATTCAAACTCGGAAGAAATCTAGATTATTTAATTAATTATGAACTTTGTCATGAGGTTCCGAGGATTATCCTATATACGTCGTTAATTATGGAGACTTTTGTTCCTAACACCTATTAAAAGTTTTAGGTTCAGTTTTCTTAAACGGTCTTGAAATATCAGCTATAGAAATGTAGCCATGTGTTTTTTTATAGATTCTACACGACTAACGAATGTCATATTAAGATATTTAGGTTATATCGGCTTTTAAATTGTTAAAACCAACCTTTCCAAGGGTAAATATTTACGTGCAGTATTTAACTTCTCGGTTTTTAAAGTTATCAGATAGGCTGCCTGCTTTCGTTTATATAGTTAATAAATTTAAAAGAATATCATTAGTAATGTATTCATATGTCTACATAATTAGTATATAATGTTCCTAACTACTTGATCTATGCTGAATATAAAGAAGCCTATTAAACTGTGTAGCGACTTATCGCTGAGTTCAAGTGCAAAAAAGTCCAGAAAAGGGATAAAATACCTTTCATTCATTCAAAGAAGTAATACAGTCGGCCCCTTCTCGGGCGTACAGGGAACCTTCCACTCGGGCTGTTAATAAAGATAAGAAAAATAAGAAATTAATCTAATATTAAACTAAAATGACTTAGTCGAACCTAGACACAAATACCTAACGTAGTTGGTATTTAATAAATTAGACAGCGATTATCAACAGGAACATACAATACGGCAGAGAATAGAAGGTTTAATAACGAAGTAGCCTGGCAAGAAACACTCGCGACTAAGGGCTACTAAGCTCTCCTGCTGAAGTAAAGTGAACTTTCCTTAAATACTACTCATACCTCCTTTACATTCAGCGCGATTCTAAAATCTCATTCTGATAGGTGCTTGTAAGTGGAAAACAATAATTAAAAGGAAAGGGTTTCAAAATTAGAAATAACTGTATGAAATTAAAATGCATCTTACAAGTAATTTTTCCATTTAAAGGAGGCCTGTCTTTTTTCTGTGGGAGGATAATTGTGCTTTTTGCATTTTTGACTACCTCATTTATTCTGGTCTTATATTTTAGTTTCGTCGAAATAGTATAAAAATTACCTCGAGGCGTACTATGTTTTCCTCGAAGCCGAGAAAGTTTTAACGTACCAAAGCTTCAAAAGCATTAAAAATAGGTGGGTTTTGTTTAACGACTTGTTGTCGCTGCTCATATAAAATAAGCTATGTGACTTCTGTCAAGGTTATTAATTTTTCATAATTTGCTTGTTGACATAAATAGTAGAATACTCTAGCGATATAAAATATTGTGAAACTTTGGTTTACGAAAGCCTTAGCTCACGAACAAATCGGTCAAAACATTTTCCAAAAGAAAAATGTCTTGGATGGCAAGTGATGTCTCGAGATATGAACAAGTAAACCGGCATCAAATGATTGCCCAAAATGCAGCTAATGCAATGGAGGAAATGTTCTTAGAAGAAGAAGGAGGAAGGGGAAATGTTTTTAGTTATTTGATCCTCGAAATTTGTGCAAATGGGGTGAGGTGCAAAGGTTCATAGAACATTATCACACTCAGAAGTAAGTTGTAGTATAAATATCTGCAATAACAATGTCTTGCTTTAAAAAAATTTTAAAACACAGATAGAAATAAATCACAGAGGATAAATTTTTAATAAGGTTTGGCGATTCTTAAGTAGGGGCAAACGGGGAGAAAGAGAAAAGAAAAAGAAAAAAAAATATTTTTACGGAATTAGGATTTTTTTTTTCAAACAAGAACATTTTGCACTTTTAGTTTCTTCACTGTTTTCTACTAACTTACGAGATAGGGTAAAATTGAATTCGTCTGTTTAGTATTGCGCTAAATATAAAATAATAATATTGTGTATGAATTCCAGTTGTTTCGAATTACAACCTAAGTACTTTTTTTTTCATAAATAATCATTTGGGATCCGAGAACGGATTATTTAATTTTACATTAATACCTATGGGCAAACATTTTTGGTTTACGAATAAATCAGATAACGAATTATCTTTGGGAACAAAATACATTCGTGAACTAAAATTTCACTGCAATTGCATCCAGCGTCGTTTCGCGACTTTTTTATGTCTCTTGATTACTCTACTATTTACCTCAACAAGCAAATAATGAAAAATAAGTAACAAAGGTAAATGCCACATATTTTAAGCTCAGAATGATCACGTTGCGTGGCGCTTTCAAAAACATTGCATGTACTTCAGCAGTATAAACTTAAAGAATTTTTAAAGTTAGTTTTTGACCGTCGTAAATGCAAGTTGTAAGTCAAAAACTACTTGTATTAGCGTCTCAAGTACCCTAGGATGGGGTTTCTTACTTCATATGGATTGTTAGTTTCCTTACATTACTTACTTTCATTTGCGCTGAAGATTTCAGGTTAAGTTAATTAGTAAGGCAAAGCAGACGACTGTTATCTTCCTAGCGGAAGAGATGCTTTCGTGAAGAACTTTCTAATAGAACCTAGCTCGTATTTACTTTACACATATAAGAAACCACATAACCCACGCATGCAGCCAACTCCGTTTGCTCAGAATCGAACACGGGACGAACTCCCAGCATTCAGCAGTCCAGAACAGTCGGCTATTAGTGGAGTCGTTGATGATTCCAGAGTTATTTGTAGAGTTAAGATTATGACTGCTTAATTTCTAGTCAACAGAAATGTGAACAAATGACGTAAATTTCTGGAAACTAGCTCCTTCATTCATTGAGGAAATTGAAAAAAAAAACATTATTTTATAAAACCTGTTGCAAAGCATAAGCAATAACTTCCTATTATGTCAGATAAATAACGATATCAAATCAATAGCAAGAGTAGATTTTATGAACATTTTTGCCAAATATTTGGCAGAACCTCAATTCAAACTTCGGCTCTACAAAACATCTGTAATCTAAACAGATGAGTAACTTCCAATTTCCTTCAGTGCAAAAAAACAAGAAATTGAATTTATGTTTTTTTTATTAAAGATATAACGGTTTTCCTTTAATATGCACTAATTGCTTTATCTGTAAAGATGGAAATCGTACACAGTGAATCTTCCCTTAAACGAAAGCTCATTATTTTTCAGATGATTTTTTGGGCTCTGTAATGGTATTCCGCTTAGAAAATTTATATTTAATACTGATTCTTTAAACGTTTAATATGATATTATTTTTTAAATATGCATGTTTCTCAATTTGTACAAGACTTAAAAGAAATGATGGCGACAACTTTAAGGTGTGATAGTATAGAGTAATTAGAATTTTACAAGGTTTGGACTCCGGACCTCCCCACTACAAGCCCGATGTACTTTATATTATATCTCGAAAGCAGGCGTTAATAAAGAAGAAAATTACTTCTATTCTTTTCCTCTAAGAGAGTTACTGGGAAGGAGGGAATCCAGTAGATAGTGACGAATCATCGCCATCACATTTTTAATTCTAACGCCAATTGTAGATTAATTAAATATTCATCGGTGCAAGAAATCTGAAAAATCAGCAATTCCTTCGCTATGA